TCATGCACAATCAGATATCCCACAACATTAGCGCATGCGTGAGAAGTTGAGTAACAACAGGTCGCGCTCTTGGGCGCCGTGCCTTTGCACGAATGCAACCACGTGTGTAGATGTGCGTGTGCCTTGTGTTATATGTGTTTGTGTGTGTATGCTTCTGTGTGTGTGCGTGTGTATATGTGCGTGTGAGAGTATATGTGTGTGTGTGGGTGGGTGGGTGGGCGTGCGTGTGCGTGCATGTGTGTGTGCATGTGAGTGTTGCTCTCTCTCTCTCTCTCTCTCTCTCTCTCTCTCTCTCTCTCTCTCTCTCTCTCTCTCTCTCTCTCTCTCTCTCTCTCTCTCTCTCTCTCTCTCTTTCTCTCTATCTTTATAGGCGTGACATGCCCTTGTGCTCCATGAACTGCCTCGAGACCAACCGTCTTGTGGTCTGGTCTTCGTGGTGGACTTGAGGGACTTGCCCTCGTGTACACTCGCACGTATCCACACAGGTGGGCGAGTTGCGTTGCGTGATTGCGCTCTTGAGTTTTTTTTTTTTTTTTTTTTTTTTTTTTGCATTGCACGGCTCGGGTTGCACCTAGTGAGATGCGGTTCGGGAGCCAAATATTCTATGCAATGTGGTGCGCGAGAAACAACAAGAGAGGGAGACAACGTTTGTTCTCTTTCTCTCTCGCTCTTTTCTCTCTCTCTCTATCTCTCTCTCTCTCTCAAGCGGTCCTTCATTAATATTATAGAGGGGTACAAGTCATACATGATAAAGCAGCAAAGCAATCCCCTAGCATACCGTCTAGGTATCATGTAGGCCAGCATGCGCTCATGCAAGCAAGTATCAACATATAAAAACTAAGCTAGCTGGGTCTGCAAGCCGTGGCCTGCCGTGAGCCTAGCCCCTAGGGACCTCAGCCTCGGGGCCCCCCTACTTCAGCCCCTCACGCCTCCAGGGCTGGCCCCCAGTCCAAGTCATCTTCAATGACTTGGCACAGGTCCCCCAGGCGGGGCTCCCATGGGTCAGCCACCGCCTGTGGGTAGGCACTCTCTATGGCCCGGTTAGACTTTGCCAGGAATGCGTTCGCCTGGCTCCTCTGCAGTGCTACCGACCAGCGCTGGCGGTAGTGAGCTGTGAGTTTGGAGGCGACAGTGGTAAGCCTCCCCTGCCTAAATTTATTTTTAGCCGCTTGTCTGCCTAATAGCCTGAGGAACCTCTGTGTGTCGCGCGCTAGGGCTCCATATGTTTCCACCGCCAGCCCCAACACCCCCACGAAATCCGGCCTGTCAGAATGTTATTCTCTAGCCTGTAGTGGGGTGCTCCATAGCGAGTACAACCCATCTAGGGTTTGCTATATGTATCCTCATTGCTGCTAGTGAAACCTCTCCTTTGCTTATTCTCTCTTGCCTAGCTAGGGCTTACCTAGCTATGGCTCCTACTCATGCCTACGATTCTAACATGGTATCAGAGCACTCACGCTCCTGGCCTGTGGGCCCTACTGCTGCTTCCGCTGCTACTCTGTGTGTTGCACGCCCCGTGGCGTGCGACGGATTTCTCTTCCCGCCGCGCGCTCGGAGCGTGCGGCGGTTTTCTGCCCGCCGTGCGCCCCGAGGCGCGCGGCGGTTTTCTGCCCACCGTGCGCCCCGGGGCGTGCGGCGGTTCTCTGCCCGCCGTGCGCCCCGAGGCGCGCGGCGGCCTTCTGCCCCGTCGGTCCGCGCGTCGCCCCCGGGGGGCGCTTCGACGGGCGACGGGGACCAGCCCGTCGTCCCCCGTCGCCCGTCCTGGCCAGCGCGGGCTGCGCTAGCCCCGAGCGCGACCCGTACGGGCTGCGCCCGGCCCGCGCGCGGCCCGTACGGGCTGCGCCAGGCCCGCGCGCGGCCCGTACGGGCTGCGCCAGGCCCGCGCGCGGCTCGGGCCGCCTGCGCACGGTTCGTCGGGCTGTGCCAGGCCCGTGGGCGGCCCGTTCCTCTCTGTCCCTGATCTGCACGCTGTCCCCCGTGCTTCTGACGGTGCCCCACCCCTGCTGCTGCCCGTTCTCCTGAATTAGGGTTTGGGGGTGAGGAGTGTGGGGGTGGCGGTTGTGTGTTACTCCCCTTGCTCCTCCTCCTCCCTGGTCTCCCACTGCTGCAGCTGCCGCTGAGGGGGGTGGGTGTGTGGGAGCCTAGGGTTTAGGGTTTAAGGGGGGTGCCGTGGGAGTGGAGCTAGGGCTTGAGCAGGGGGTGTGTGAGAGGGGCGTGGGGCAGCTGGAGGAGGTTGTGTGGAGGTAGCGGTCGTGTCGCCTGCAGCGCCTGTAGTCCGTCGCCCTTGCTTCGGTAGCCAGTGAGCCTGTTGCACCAGTCGCCAGTGGGTCCGTTGCTCCTGCCGCTCGTCTATAGCCGCGGAGCCAGTTACTCCAGTAGTCCGTCGCCCTTGCTTCGGTAGCCACTGAGTCAGCCGCTCCTGTGCCCGTGCCTCTGCAGCTTCAGTCGTTGCCTCCCATCTTCTCTCCCCCACAGTCTCTCCTCCTCCTCACTTGCCCTCTGTGATTAGCTCTAGCTTTGCTTACCTTTGTAAACTCCTGCTCTATACCTGTTTGCTCATTGTACTGATTACACCCCACTTTGGCTATGGGGGTGTGTCAGAATGTTATTCTCTAGCCTGTAGTGGGGTGCTCCATAGCGAGTACAACCCATCTAGGGTTTGCTATATGTATCCTCATTGCTGCTAGTGAAACCTCTCCTTTGCTTATTCTCTCTTGCCTAGCTAGGGCTTACCTAGCTATGGCTCCTACTCATGCCTACGATTCTAACACGGCCGTCCCTCATACAGTCCTCGTTTGGTTCTGGCCGCATCCTCCGCCGCCCAGCCCGGGGGCTTCACTGCCCTAGTGTCCCGGCGCTGCAGGACCGGGTCCGTCACTGTGACGTCCGTCACATACGTCTCGGCCGACTCCCAGTCCTTGATGGCCAGGTCTGCTCGCTTGGGGTTGATTGGTTGCGAGTAGACCGTGGTCTCATACAGGGTAAGCTAGTCCGCCTCCCTGGCCATGCGGAGCGCCGTATACACGAGGTTGTTGTGTGTGTTCGTCCTCTCTTTCCCCTCCCCGCACCGCAGCAGATGGTTCGGTAGGCTCAGGTCCCCAATCTCCCCTCGCTCCCCCTGGCACGGGCAGTTTTCCGTCACCGGCAGCGCCAGTCCCAAGCGGAACCCCAGAGCCAAGGCAAACTGACCCGGCGAGAACGTCAGATCTGCCCGTGTGGGGATGGCGTGGAGCCAATCCCCTGCGCCTACCCCCTGCAGGCTGATCAACCGCACCACGTGTCCATTGTCTTCCCCCGACTTATCCATTCGTGTGTCGCCCACCAGCTCTGCTGCCCGGTTCAGGTTGATATGGCGCGACAGTTGCTCCTGCAGGCGTCCCCGTCCTCCCCCGCTGACACCCGGCTCCCCTAGCAGCTCCCGCGCCTCCTCGGGGAGTCTGTTCCGCAGGTCCCGTATTCCTTCCCCTTCCCCTCCTGCCACTCCCTCCCCAAGCGGTGACACCAGCGACGCCACTTGCGAAAGCTGGTGGTTTGGCGAGGGCGGCATTTGCTGCAGCAGCATTTGTGCTGCCCTTAGTGACGCCAGGTATGCCGCCGGTGCCTCTGACAATGGGTCTATCAGTCCCACACCCCCCAGCGCGATCGGTAGCGTCGCCTGCCTCCACACCAGGCTTTGTTCTAGCTCATTGGAGGGTACATTGATGTGGGCCGCCCTCAGTGCTGTCCACAGCAGCCTCTCGCTCCACCCCCGCCATTCCCGGATGGGGAGAATGTCCGCCGGCGTAGTGCGCAGCAGGTAGGAGATTCTACGCGATATGCAGCGCGACAGGAGCAGCATCGCGTGTTGTGGGTGGAGCTTGCTGACTAGGCTCAGGGGGAGGGCTATCCGCTCCAGCGATGCCCGAAGCGTGCGCCTGCAGTATGCTACTGTGCCTATGGGGCTCCCAAGGACTTGCACTCCGTCCACCGCCGCCGCCAATCCTTCCGGCAGGTCTGTTGTGTTCCCCGTGGGGCTCCAGGCCGACGACTTGGTGAGGTTGCACCGCAGCCCTAGACCGACGAGTCTCTGGACTATCATATTGAACGCCCTTGTCGCGGCCGCCGGCTGGCCAATGACAGTGATGTCGTCTGCGTACGCCATTACTGTCGCGCCCGGGACTGCCATCGCCGCCTCCAACAGGGCCGGTTGTATGGCTGCAGCGAATAGCATGGGGCCGAGCGGGTCTCCTTGCCTGACGCCCCGGGCACTGTCGATGGTGCTGACAGTGAAGCCTCTGTCCAGTAGTAGTTTCGACGGCGTGCCATAGAGGGTTCTAGCGAATGGCAGCAGTGAGCTCAGTCCGCCGGTCCAAAGCAGTGTCGACAGAAATCACCCTCGTTCGACCGAATTAAAAGCGTTTTCAATATCGAGCTGTAATATCGTGCGCGTCGGGTCCTCCGCCAGCAGCGTACGAGCCGTGTGTATTATGCACTCCGCTCCCCCCGGTACGGCCACGCCGTATTGTACTGGTAGAAAGTGTGCGCGAATCTCCCCTGACAGCTCCCGTAGCGCCGCTTTTGCCGTGAGTCTAAGGAGTGCCTCCCCAATCGCTATCGGCCTTACTCCCCCGTCAGGTTTTTCCAGTGCGATTAGCCTCGATGGTAGCAGCAGCTCTCTCAGCGGCGCGTCCTGGTACGTGCTGAGTAGGTTATTAACTATCTGGTGCAGCAGTAAGAATACCTCCCCGTTTGTTAGAGCAGGGTCCCGTAGGTGTTCGAAACAAGTGCCTGACGGGCCTGCTCCTATTCCGTTCGGGCACTTCGCCAGGATGTCGCGGAACGATCTGTGCCAATGGCGAGTGCTGTTTTGCCGTAACCCCCTAGCCCTTCCTGTATCGCCATCTCCGCTCGCGGGTGCTTCGCCCGGAGTGTTTCCAGTGCCTGTTGCGACGGCTCCGCCAACGGAGTGGTTCGTAATGCTGCCGCAGCTTTTGCCAGGTTGGCCTTCCGGACCAATCCCTCTACCCTTGCGCAGATGCCTTCTGCGTCAGGCTCGTGTCTGCTTGGTTGGGAAATGTCGGGGATTGTGCAGGCTTGGAGGTACAGTGAGCCCCAATCTTCATCTCGGAATTGTCGAAGTCTTTTTTTCACTGCGTCGAGGCTGTTTCCCGGAACTTTCTCTGTGCTCGCCCTCAGTGTAAGCCGAGGCAGGAATTGCAGCACCCTCCACGCGCCCATGCAGCCCGGATGTTTCGAGAGTCGCAGTAGGGGAATCGTCAGGCAGTGACTGTACGACTTCAGTTCTTCCGGGGGAAGTTTCCTGACCAAGAATGGTTGGGAACTGACTCGCAATGGATCTAGGTCCCAACTCTCCACCGCCCGCCATATGTCATCATCGTCCGCGATGTCATTTGGTGAGCGCTCCTTGCTGGCAGATTCATTAGTCTGTTGGGCTGTTGATTCGCCCACCTGTCCAGCCCCGTTAGGATTATTTCCGTCATGTCCTCGGCGTCCGCCACGTCGCCGTCTGCCCTCATTGCCAGCTGGGATCCCGTCTTCGGCCTCCACAGACACCTCCTCCGATTCGGCCTCTTCCTCCTCCATATATTCTGACTCTTCTTCCTCTGCGGCGACATTCATTGGTGCTCCATTCTCCTCCTCTGGCCTCCCATGCCGTTCCCGCCAATTTCCGGTTCTGGCCTTTTCTCTTGCTACGGATCTCACCAACTCCCCCACCCGTCCCCCCCTGCCCCGGCCCCTCCCGCGTCCCCGTGTGGCCGTGCGTCCCGCCGCGTTTCGCGGCTGCTGCCCCATCGCCCTCTCCTCCGCCTGCTCGCGTAAGGTCCGTTGCCTGCTAGTTTCGTTCCTCCGACTTTGCCACGCTGCCGTCACCGTCGCTATCCCCTCTTCCTCCCTGTACTCGTTCTCCTCGAGATGCTCCGCCACACGATTTTCCTCTCCCTCACCTCCCTGTGCCTGCAGGCCCCGTGGCGATGACTGGCAAGCGTCGATCCTCCTCTCGGTCGGGCCGCTCGGTTGGTTCTCCTGCTGCTCCCAGCCACTCACAGGCCCGGGGCGAGCTGGCGCCAGCCCTGCTCCGAGCCGCCGCTGCCCTGGTCGCGCACGAGGAGGCCGGCTCCTCCCCCCGTCGTCACGAGCCAGTCTATCGCTCTCCCCGCGGTCGGACCCATCCACATCTCCGGGCTCGTGGCGGCTCCTTCCGACGTCGCCTTCCGCCTCGCCACCCTCCCGCTGTCCAGCGAGAGATTGTCGGGCCCCTGTGTCCGACGCGCAGTCACCGCCTCTTGGTGCCGACGCCGCGGCGCTGTCCGTCCGCATCTCTCCAGTCTTCCCAGCAGCTATCGTCCGTGCCTGCTGAGTCGGCGCCGTCGACGCCATTGGCTCCTCCACCTCCTCCCGCCCCCCCGGTGGCTCAGTCTCCCCCGGCAGCGCGTGCGCCACCTCCTCCGTCTCCCCCGCCGCAGGCTGCTGCGGTTGGGGCACCTCTTGTGCTTCCTGCCGGTGTGCCGCCCACCCCGTCTGCAAGTTCCCCTGGTGATCCTCCTCAGCGGCTACATCCTCTGGTTCCACTCGACCCCTCCCCTGTCGCTCGATTCCCTCCTCCTCGTTGCCCTTTCTCCTCCGCTATTTTCGTGAGTATTGTGAAAGCTTGCTTTCTGCAACTTGTAAAGGCATCGTGCTTCATTTCATATGGGTATCTCTCTCTCTCTCTCTCTCTCTCTCTCTCTCTCTCTCTCTCTCTCTCTCTCTCTCTCTCTCTCTCTCTCTCTCTCTCTCTCTCTCTCTCTCTCTCTTCCTCTCTATCTTTATGGGCGTGACATGCCCTTGTGCTCCGTGAACTGCCTCGAGACCGACCGTCTTGTGGTCTGGTCTTTTTGGTGGACTTGAGGGACTTGCCCTTGTGTACACTCGCACGTATCCACGCAGGTGGGCGAGTTGCGTTGCGTGATTGCGCTCTTGAGTTTTTTTTTTTTTTTTTTTTGCATTGCATTGCACGGCTCGGGTTGCACCTAGTGAGATGCGGTTCGGGAGCCAAATATTCTATGCAATGTGGTGCGCGAGAAACAACAAGAGAGGGAGACAACGTTTGTTCTCTTTCTCTCTCGCTCTTTTCTCTCTCTCTCTATCTCCCTCTCTCTCTCTCTCTCTCTCTCTCTCTCTCTCTCTCTCTCTCTCTCTCTCTCTCTCTCTCTCTCTCTCTCTCTCTCTCTCTCTCTCTCTCTCTCAAGCAGTCATGCATTGATATGGGTCACAAGGTACAGGCATTGCAGGTGGTGGTAACTAGCTTGCCTAGAGATTGGAGCAGCCAGGGAACCAGAACTGAACAAGCAGCAGACAGAGCAAGCCTATCCATCCTAAGCACCCCTAACTCTTAGAGCAGCCCAGTCCCCCGCAGCTCAGGACCATCAGAACCCCCAACATCCACCCGTCCCCTGTCCCTCCCATACCACACAACCTCCCCTTATCCTCCTCCATCCCGCCGCTTCCTCGCACCTTCCCCGAGACGCCCCTCTTTATCCTTGTTCCCTCTGACCCACCCTGACTCAGCACACCCCCTCCTGCTTCTCCCCGCGCCCCTGTATCCCTCCCCTGCCGTCCCCCATCCTCCTCCTGTCACCATGTTCCTTTCTCCCCGGCCCCCTCAACCCCTCAGGCCGCCCTGGTAGGGGCGTGTCGCTCCTCGTACTCGTCCTCCAAGGTCTGCCATAGGTCTCCTAGCCGAGGTGCCCAAGGGTCCGCCGCTGTCTGTGGGAAAGCTGCTTCCGCTGCTCGGTTTGACTTGGAGAGGAGGGAGATCGCTTGGCTGCGCTGGAGCACCACGGACCACTGCTGCCTGAAGTGTGCATTGAGGCGGGCGGCGGTCGTCGTGAGGCGTCCCTTCCTGTACTTCGTCTTGGCGGCATAGGTGGCTAGCATACGGATGAACTGCTGCGTGTCCTTAGCCAGAGCCCCGTAAGTCTCTACCGCTAGCCCAAAGAAGCCGGCGTAGCTAGGGCGGCCCTCGTAGAGCCTGTGCTTACCCTCGGAGGCTTCCTCTGCTGCCCACCCCGGCGGCTTCCTAGCTCTCTTATCCCGCTTCTGCAGTACGGGATCTGTGACCGTGACATCGGTTACCCACGTTTCCCCCGGCTCCTGATCCCGAATGGCCAGGTCTGCTCGCTTCCGGAGGACCGGGGGAGAGAACGTCGTGGTCTCATGGAACGTCCTGTAACCCGCATCCTTGGCCATTCTGAGAGCTGCAAAGACCAGGGCGTTGTGGGTCCTCACAACGTCACCGCCATCCCCACACCGCAGGAGGTGGTTGGGGAGGCTTTTGTCGGAGATGGTCGAGTTTTCCCGCTTGCAAGGGCACACCTCGGCGACCGGCAGCTCCATGCCCAAACGCAGGCCCAGGGCCATCGAGAATTGACCAGGGGATAAGCTAAGGTCTCCTCTCGTTGGCATGGCATGGAGCCAGTCACCCGCACCCACCCCCTTTAGGCTGGTGAGGCGGATGGCATGGCCCCTGTCCTCCCCTGGCCGGTCCTGCAGGGTGTCCGCTAGGAGTTCCAAGGCCCGCCGCTGGTTAATAGACTTCGACAGCCCCAGCTGCAGGTTCCCTGTGCCTGGACTCCCCGCCCTGTACTGCTCCAGTGTTGCTCGGGCTTCAGCAGGGAGGGCACCCTCCATAGTGGCTCTGGGGTTGGTCTCTGGTGGCGGTGGGACCCAATCGTGGGAGAGGAGCTGAGTCGCTCGGCTCAGGAGGCAGTCAGTTGGCAGGTCCAGCTGCCTCAGTAGGATGTGTGCTGCCGCGACTGAGGCCAGATAGGCAGCGGGTGCTTCAGAGATAGGGTCAATCACTCCGAGGCCACCCAGGCGGATAGGGAGTGTTCCCTGGCGCCACAGCAGGCTCTGTTCAAGCTCGGAGGAGGGGATCCGAAGTTTCGCCGCAGTGAGTGCCGAGCCCAGGAGAGCCTCGCTCCACTCCCTCCACTCTCGCATGCTTAGTGTTGATGCCGGGGTCGTCCGAAGCATGTATGAGATCCGCCGAGAGATGCTGCGCGAGACCATGAGGAGCGCGTGCTGCGGGTTTAGTTGCGAGATGAGGAGGAGTGGCGACGCCGCTTCTCCCAGTGCCGTACGTACGTGGTCCGTGCAGAAGCCATCATTCCCCACTGGACTGCCCAGCACTTTGATTCCCCCCTGGTTCATGGTCAGCCCCAGTGGCAGCTCCTCCTGCTGCTCGGCCGCGTTCCGTCCCCATGCTGATGATTTGTCTATGTTGCAACGCAGTCCCACCGCTCTCAGAGCCGAGGCGATCGTGTTGAAGGCGGTGCAGGCAGCCTCTCGTGAGCCGACGATCGTGATGTCGTCTGCGTAGGCGACGATCGCCACTTCCGGCAGAGTAGTGGCCACGCTCAGCAGGGCTGGCTGGATCGCAGCAGCGAACAGAAGCGGGCCGAGCGGATCTCCCTGGCGAACTCCGCGGGAGCTCAAGATGTGGTCTGTGCCAAAACGTTGGTCAACTAGTAGCCGCGACGGGCCATCGTAGAGGTTTCGGACCAGGGGGAGGAGGGGACTAAGGTTGGACCACTGCAGGGCCTCAAAAAATGCTCTGCGTTCAACGCTGTTGAACGCATTCTCTACGTCCAGCTGCAGCGCAATCCGTGCTTCGTCCTCCTGAAGTAGCGCTCTGACTGAGTGGATGATACACTCCGCTCCCCCCGGGATAGCCACTCCGAACTGGACCGGAAGAAAGAACTCTCGGATCTTAGGACCAAGTGAGTGAAGAGCCGCTTTCGCTACTACACGGAGTAATGTTTCGCCAATCGCGATAGGCCTGACCCCACCCCCCGGTTTCTCTAAGGCTATCAGGCGTGAGGTTAGGGTGAGGTCGCGCAGCTCCTGAGACTGGAATGTGCTAAGGAGTGTGTTGACTGTCTTAGCGAGTAGGATTAAGATCTCCTCGTTGGCTAGAGCTGGATCCCTCAGGTGCTCGAAACATGTTCCAGAGGGCCCCCCACCCACTCCATTCGGGCATTTCGCCAGGATTTCGCGGAGAGCGTCAACCGGGACGGCGAGTTCAGAAGTTGCTATTCCTGTTACCCAGGCCGGGATGTCGTCTTTGGCAGGTGGGTGTTTCGCCTGGAGTGCAGCGAGGGTTGACGAACTAGGCTCAGCGAGTGGGCTGGTGCGTAACGCAGCAACTGCCTTCGAGATATTCCCCTTCTTCATTAACCCTTCGGCGCGTGCACAAACCCCTTCGTCGTCAGGTTGGTGTCGTAACGGGACGTCGGTATCGGGGATGGTTCCGGCTTCCTCGAAAAGGTCATCCCATTTCCCTTGCTGAAATTGATGTAGCCGAGCCTCAATTCGAGCCCAGCGACTCCCAACAACGGGTTCGGGAGAGGGTCGGAGTGTAAGCCTCGGTAGGAACAGCAGAATCTTCCACGCACCAAGGCACGTAGGGGATTTTTCCAGCCTCAGGAGTGGTGCCAGTAAACAGAGGCAGTATTTGTCCAGAATTTGTGGGGGCAGGCGGCGGACAAGGAAAGGCTGGTCCCCACGTTGCAGTTGCTTCACATCCCAACCCTCAGCTCCCTGCCAGATGGCCTCTTCCTTCGCCATGTCAGAGGGCGAGAAGACATCTGTCACCTCAGTTTCTCCTGCCGTATCTCCCACCGCCCGTTGGTTCTGTGCAATCCCGCTCGGCCCTCTTCCACGTGAGTTTGGAGCATTCCTGTCCACCCCAGTTTCCTCCTCCAGTGACACCTCCTCAGATTCAGCTTCTTCACCACACATAAACTCTGGGTCGCCGGCGTTATCTTCAGAGCCCGCTGCCTGTTCCTCATTCGTTGGTACTTCCACCGCTCCTGGCCTATCGTGGCGTTCTCGCCAGGTGCCAGTACGCACAGGGATCTCAGATCCCCCCACCAGTGCCCTTCCCCCTCGTCCTCCGCGCGCTCCCCGTGCACCGACCCCCCGCTGAGTCCGCCCCGCGACTGTTGGCGCTCTCGTCCCCTCGCCCGTAGCTCCACGTCCCGCCGGCAACCACGGTGTCCGGCCTCCCCGGGGCGGTCCCCAGGTTATTGCCGCTCGTCGCGTCGCGTGGCGGGTGTTGTGCGCGACGGCGTTCGTTGTGTTGGGCGCCTCAGCGTGTGCTGCCGTCGCTGGTGTCGTGTTGAGTGCAGGAGCACCACGGGTGTTTCCTAGCGGGCGGCTTCCAGCTTCGGCCACCTCGCGCACCTCCTGCTGGCTCAACGATGACGACCGATGCGCTCGCTCTGATGGCGGTTTCCCTTGCAGAAGCCAGCCCAGGAGGGGTCCCGGGGAGCCAGGTCCCAGCCCTGCTCCGGGCCGTCTCGGCGCTGGCTGGGCCCGCAGCCTCGTCTTCGACTTCGCACGTGCAGCGCCGGAAGAAGCGCCGCTCGCGGGTCCCGGAAACTCTCCCTCCGCCTGACCGTGCTCCTGCCTGCTTGCGGCCGCGACAGCAGCAGGCGTTCCGGCGCACGCAGCGGCAGTCGTCGCGCCTCCCGCCACCGGGGCGTTGCCATGTTCCCCAATCGCAGCAGACACCACCGCCGCCAGCGCCGCCGCCGTTACCGGCGCTGGCGACGCGGACAACGCCACCTCATCGAACTGCTCCGGAACCGCGCCCGGCCTCGTCTCCTCAGCCTCCGCCTGTGCAACCCGAGGGGTGGCAGAGGGTGAAGCTGAGCCGCCGTCAAAAGCAGCGGCAGAACCGCCGGCAGGCGCAGGGTCTGCCGCCGTCCCCACTGCAGGCCCGTCAGCATCAGCTACCACAGGCTCCCCCGTCGCAGCCGCCGACTCAATCTCCGCTCCGTCGTTTTCCCCTACCCCTCCGTCCGCATCAGCTGCGTCCCTCGGTGTCACATGCTCCCCCGTCGCCGCTCCTGCCCGCTCAGAACCCCCAGGCAGTACCGTCTCCGCCGTCGTTCCATCGGTACTTGTATGGCAGCCCCCCTGTGCAGCGCCCATGGCAGCCGGTGACACCTCCCGTACCGCCTCCTCCTCCTGCCGTGGTTCCTGGTGAGCCCCCAACTCTCGTCGAGCAGCGCGTGATGCACGTGGGGACTTGCTTGACGCTCCTGTCGTATGTGCTCGACCAGCTTCACGTGACCCTGGTGCAGCAGGAGGTGCAGATCGGGGCGATGCAGCCAGCGGAGCAGACGGCGGCGGTGGCGGCAGCGGAGGAGTTGCAGCATTACCTCCCGCTGATTGGCTTTGTACCGGGCTCCCCCGGAGCTGCCCTCGGGCCCGGCCCTGGTGCTTTGGCGCGGCTTGCCGAGTCTGCCCAGGAGGACCCTCTCGACCTTGTAGCCGCTGCCGCATCCGTCCTACGCTAGTTGGACGGGCGGCTTTGCTGGATCCTGGTTGAGTAGGGGGTGGCTTCCCCTTGCCGGCCCCCTGTGAGGCAGGCCTGGCTTTGGGCTTCCCCATGGCGGTGTAGGCACGCCCGGGGGTGGTGCTGTTGTTGTAGGATGCTACCCCTGCATGTTGTATCACTTGCTGCTATAGTCCTTGCCGTCCCTTTTCCTTGCCTCCCCTCACGCGTGGCCGAAGGCCGCGCTGGCGAGCGGCGGCCGCCGAAGGCGGCCTGCACGAGCCGCCGGTTTTGGAGAGTGAACTGAACTCACCAGTGAAGAATGAGCTCAGAAGGGAGCATCTAGGGACTATATACTAGGGTACTAGGCTGAAAAACGGCTAAGGACTGGATCCTACACTAGAGAGGGCTGAAAAACGGCTAAGGACTAGTCCTAGGCCATCTCTCTCTCTCTCTCGCTCTCTCTCGAACGAGCCGCCGGTTTTGGAGAGTGAACTGAACTCACCAGTGAAGAATGAGCTTTGAAGGGAGCATCTAGGGACTATATACTAGGGTACTAGGCTGAAAAACGGCTAAGGACTGGATCCTACACTAGAGAGGGCTGAAAAACGGCTAAGGACTAGTCCTAGGCCATCTCTCTCTCTCTCTCTCGCTCTCTCTCGAACGAGCCGCCGGTTTTGGAGAGTGAACTGAACTCACCAGTGAAGAATGAGCTCAGAAGGGAGCATCTAGGGACTATATACTAGGGTACTAGGCTGAAAAACGGCTAAGGACTGGATCCTACACTAGAGAGGGCTGAAAAACGGCTAAGGACTAGTCCTAGGCCATCTCTCTCTCTCTCTCGCTCTCTCTCGAACGAGCCGCCGGTTTTGGAGAGTGAACTGAACTCACCAGTGAAGAATGACCTCAGAAGGGAGCATCTAGGGACTATATACTAGGGTACTAGGCTGAAAAACGGCTAAGGACTGGATCCTACACTAGAGAGGGCTGAAAAACGGCTAAGGACTAGTCCTAGGCCATCTCTCTCTCTCTCTCTCTCTCTCTCTCTCTCTCTCTCTCTCTCTCTCTCTCTCTCTCTCTCTCTCTCTCTCTCTCTCTCTCTCTCTCTCTCTCTCTCTCTCTCTTTGTTTTTAAGACGTGTGTGCGAACACCACACAATGCACAATCCTCAATGCTGTTGCTTGGGTCCTCCTAGACCTTGATGGGTCTCTTGATGCGTGATGAGGCTCACGCGTCCCTTGATTTCGTATTAAGGTGTATGAACCTTTCGGCTCGATTTTTCTCACCTTTTTTTTTCTTTCTTTCTTTCTTTCTTTCTTTGCTTTGCACTGGTTGTTTGCTGGTTGCCCATATCATAGTGCAGACCGTCCTTGAGCCCAAGGTACCAAATTGAAGTAGAATAACAAGCACTTCCATGGCAACTTATCATTGCATAACAACCATTTCTTGCAAAAATACACACATGCACCAATAGCTAATGGCCTCCTCCTTGGACCCCCTAGCCCTTAGTTCCTTAGGCTGCTCCTCAGCCTTGCACCCCCTGGTGCAGCCCCGTTATGTCCCTTTGACATAAGGGGAAAGGGCTCCGCCCTATGGTCCCTCACACTACGGGTGTGGGGCCTTGGCCTCCACGCCCCCCCATGGGGCAGGCGTTTGCCATGTGGCCGGGCTGGCCGCAGCGAAAACAGGTATCCTTGAAGGTCCTTTCCTGGCAGGATCCTTGCCCGGAGCCTTTGTTGCCGAGTTCGCCAGCGTTGAGGCCACCCCCGCGGGTAGGACGGTTGTAGGTCATGCGAGCGCGCTTCGACGCGGCCACGTCGGCCACGGCCAGCTTGTACGAACGGGAGGTAAGCACGCTCTTGGACTGGTAGAGCTGGAAGCGATCGGCCGCCTCGAAGCCCGCCTCGTCCGCCACCAAGAGCACCTCGAATCGCTTGTTAATGAGCGACTCGATTTGAGCAATGTTGGTGCGAGCGCCTTCCGCATCGCCTTGCTGGAGCTTGAACTCAATGTGCGTGAGGTGGGCCTGGATAGCAGAGAAGACCTCTGCCTGGTCGCGTACGCCCTTGCGGTTGAACGTGGAGTTTGCGGTTGCGGGGTTGAGGGGGGGAAGCGTAGAGCAAGAAGCATGAGTGAAAATTGGGTTGTGACGGCGAGGGGAAGCCTCACCATCAGCGTCGTCTGACTCGTCGCTGTCATCTTCGACGGGAGCGGGGGCCGGGTCCTTCTCGATGCGGGCGGTCTTGGGAGGGCACAGTGCGACGACGGGAGCTTCTTCTTTCTTCTTATCATATTTTGCAGAAGTTGTAGCGTCCTCATTTTTTGAAGTCCCAGCCGTAACACGCGCGTGCTGCTGTAACAGCGCCAGTAGTGCTTGCAGCTGCGCCGGGTTGAACGGGGGGTTGGGGTCGGTCGTGGCTGGCGTGTGGCTCGAGGGTGCTGGCGTGTGCTGCTTGACACGCGCGCCTGAGGGGCTCGAGGTGGTGGTCAAGACAGCCGCGTCAGCGGTTGTCTTTTTTCGCCGCTTCGCGCGGCTGCCTGGAAGCCGCGCGAGGGGCGGAAGGCTCCTCGGAAGGCGCCGGGGAGCCTCCGCCCAGCAGGACCTCGACGCCAATGGCGAGGTCCTCGCGTGACTCCTCGGCAGCCCGTTTCGGGCGACGGACGGTTGTCCCGGGCGGAATGTTGGCATTCGGGGCGACGGGAGTGTCTGTCGCCTTGTTGCCCTCGCGATTAGCAGTGTTGTTCGCCGGCGCCATGGCTCCGATATTGTGTTTAAAAATATCCGCAAGTAGAGTCGTCGGGGCAGTGAAGCGAGGGAGGGACTGCGTCTTCGCCAGACTGGACGAGATTGAAAACTCAAACTTCGAAATTGAAAAGAAGAACGTGGGTGAGGCCGAATGGCCTCAACCCCCTCTTTTGTAGCCAAAAGAGGGCGAGTAGCGATGCGACGCTGCCTTTGCTGCGTTGGCAATCGCTACACTTTCACAATACACAATTTTTGAAAAGTGTTACACACTTAAAAAATTTTACATGTTTGTGGGGCTGCCAAGTGTCGACCCCACAAGGATTTGGTCCCAACCGGGGGCGAACTCGGTTGAGTGTTGACGCGGACAATCCGCCGTCACCCCTCATTCCGAGAAAGAACCCTCCCTTGGTCCGAGTCAAGGTAGGTCTTCGCGTGGGGGGCAATCCCGTCCCCCACACTTCCATCACTCCCCCTTGCACCCCACGCACACCTAAGCATTCAAGCCTACCCTAGCACAACATGCATGAAGAGCATCTCTAGGCAATGGCTTGGTGAGGAAGTCCGCGGGTTGGGAGTTGGTCTTGATGTAACGAAGCTCGACTTCGTTGTCTTCAACGAGCTTGCGAATGACGTGGTGGCGGATTTGAATATGCTTGGTCCTTCCGTGAAGGACCGAGTTCTTGGCTAGGCCAATGGCGGCTTGGTTGTCCACGTAGATGGGAGTGGGGCCTTCTTGTTTGTGCCCAAGCTCGGCAAGAAGGCGCCTTAGCCAAACCGCTTCCGTACCACCACGAGTGAGCGCCACATACTCCGTTTCGGTGGAGCTAAGTGCAATCAAGTCTTGGCGCTTGCTTTGCCAACTTATTGCATCGCCCACGAGGGTGAAGATATAGCCCGAGGTGCTTTGGCGGGTTGAAGGATCTCCCGCCCAATCCGCATCCGTGTAGCCTTGTAGCACCACGGGTCCCTTCTCGTAGTGCAACCCCATTCGAGTGGTGCCCTTGATGTAGCGAAGAAGGCGACGTGATGCTCGCACATGCTCGACCATGGGGTTGGAGACGACACGCCCAAGCACTCCAACGGGAAAGGAGAGGTCGGGTCGAGTGCTCACCGCGGCATACATGCACGACCCAACGACCGAGTGGAAGGTCTTGGCGCTCTCGGGATCCATTGGGTTCTCATCGCTCACCGCTAAGGGATGAAACCCCGCTTCCATGGGTGTCGGTGTAGGGTGGCTCTCAATCATGCCGAAGCAATCCACCACACTCTCCAAGTACTTGTGTTGGTGGAGGTTGAGGGTCTTGTTCTCTCGATCACGATCGATGTGCATCCCTAGGTAGTGGGAGATGGCGCCGAGGTCACGCATGGAGAATTCGGCGGCAAGCTTCGTCTTCACGTCCACTACAAGGGTCTTGCAATCCGACACGAGGAGAAGGTCGTTGACGTAGAGGAGAAAAACGAGCTTCTTCTCGTCCTTGTTGAGCACGTAGAGCGCGTGGTCACACTCGCTCCGCACGAACCCCAACGAGAGCAAGTGTTCGTCGATCCTCGTGTACCACGCACGAGGGCTTTGCTTGAGGCCGTAAATGGTTCTCTTGAGCTTGCAAAAGCGGTCGGAGTCGTCGTCGAACCCGGGAGGTTGCTTCATGTACACCTCCTCCTTGAGACGACCGTAGTGAAACGCGCCTTGTACCGCTCCACTTCTCCATTGGGGCCGAGCTTCTTCTTGAAGACCCAACGAGAGCCAACGAGGTAGGCGCCGGGAGGCATGGGGACGAGCTCGTAGACGTCGTTCGCCATGAGCGAATCATACTCCTCTTGAAGCGCACGTTCCCATTCCGCCACTTCCGCCGAGCTCATGGCGCCTTGGTAGGTGGAGGGGGTATCGGTGTATGCCTCAAGACACAT